ACTCTAGTTTGCTCCTTCTCATCAGATAACCAAGGAATGTAGATTGTTTCTTTCTCATGTGGGCAATCAGTTCTCTTTGTGAGTCAGTTTCTTTCAAGAAATCTTCATTACTCTTTTTCCCCCGTGTGGGTTACGGGGCCCCATTGTAGGGGAAAACAAGAATAGACCCACTGCCTACCCAAAAGCATGTCGTAAGAGTCGACTAATTGGGGAGCTTCCTTTGAAGTCGGAGTGCATCTGCCGGAGAGGCAAGGAACCAACATTCTTCAAGAGAATCGGTCCAAAACTGATGCACACGCAACACTCAGGTTCTGGAGCAGGACTGCAGTTCAGTAGTGGACGAACAACCAGAACTTTCCGCCAGAGTGTACAGCTGGTGAACGTGAAGAAGAAGAATTCTCTTTTTATCGGTCCAGGGTATTCTCATCATTCGTCTATAAAACCACATCTCCGCAGCTTACAGATAATTTTTCACTAATCTACCAACTGTCCATGATTCACTTCCGTATATAGAAAAAATCGGCTATCCTCCGAATAACGGGCACAAAAGATGGCGGCCGCAAATACATCCTAACAGAGCCTCAGTCACGTGTCGATTGCGCACTTCTGACGACTTAATTTGCGGTTTTCCGGCGACTACCGCCACCTGCCAAGAGTCCCCCACGCCTTCACGCGGCGTGGATTGTGGCTAAACTAGATGGCTAGGACTAGCGAGCAGCAGCTTCTGCAGCTTTGCTTGTGAGTCCTAGCCATCTAGTTGAGCCCCAATCCATGCGGCGTGGGGGACTCGTTTCGGTGACGGTAGTCGCCGGAAAACCGCAAATTAAGTCGCCGAAAGTGCGCAATTGACACGTGACTGAGGCCCTGTTTTTGGCCGCCATCTCTTGTGCCCGTTATTCGGAGGATAGCCGACAAATCACCAATACAGTATAATTAATAGGCTATCTGTAAGCCGCTTGCTATGCCTCTGCAAGCCACATCTGGCATGCAGGCCACCAGTTCAATAGGCCTGGTGTAGTAGTTCTCTTTGCCTACCACAGTTCACAGTGGAGAAAATAAGTTAGCTGGCACCCCCACTGTATCAGTTTTAGTCAATGGATAGCGTCAACAAAGTCTACAACCTGAGTTATCAGGAAGCGGTAGAGTACCGGTTTAACCCCGTGATGAATAAGCAGAACACTCTGAACAGACTTCTTCTTCATCTTCATCATTCCGAGCCCTTGAGGTTCATTGCTGCAGATATCACCCTACTCCATTCGTCTCTCTGGTTGGCCTTCTCTTTCCAGTTGGTAACACCAAGTGTTTGCAGGTCTGTCTTGATATTATCTCTCCATCGTCTTCTTGGTTTCCCTCGTGGTCTACGACCATTCATCTACCTGGTGTAAACAGTTTTTACTTCTCTGTCATTTGACATTCTTTCAATATGCCCCAACCATTTCAGTCTATTAGCTCTAATGATGCCAATGATCAGTGGTCATTTAAAGAGATTATGAATTTCGTTGTTGCTTCTCACTCTCCATTCACCGCTGTTTGCATCTTTGATGGGTCCAAAGATTCGTCGTAAGACTCTGAACAGACACACAGAGTAATGACTTTGCGAGACATTGATTCCCAAAGGGAACTGATTGCCCACATCAGAATGTGACAATCAACATTCTTTGGTCCTGTCATGAGAAGAAGAAAACAAGTACATCATATCAATGGGAAAGTTGGAAGCGAAAAAAGACAGTTTGACATCATGGCGCGGAAGATCATCTGTGTCAGAACTGACTGAGTACACGTGTAAAGAACTTGTTGATAGACATGATTAACAATACGACACACAGTGACTTTATCAGAAGAAGAAGAGATAACCGGACATTTTCTTCTTCTCGTTCACCAGCTGTAAACTCTGGCGGAAAGTTCTGGTTGTTCGTCCACTTCTGGACCGAAGTCCTGTTCCAGAATCTGAGTGTTGCGTGCACATATGTTTTACAGATCTGACTCATTTGTGTGCAGGCTGTCGGTTCCTTGCCTCTCAGGCAGATGCACTCTGACTAAGAAGGATGCTCCCAATTAGTCAACTATTACGCCCGGCTCTCTGGTGTAGTTGGTTAAACCTGACTTCGAGGCGACCGGATGATGAACTCCATGTGGTCCGGGTTCACGCCTGGGGGTAGGCAATAACGGGAACTGAAAAACAAGTCACTTAAGTAAACCACAAAAATGATTGTAATGTTTAAACTGAACCTTCTGCCGTTGTACCCTACCCGGGCTACTACTTTGAAGGTTTGACACTTCACTGAGGTACAAGGTGGAGGAGAAGAAGAAGTGTCTGTACAAAATCTCAGTCTGGATGTCACACCAACAAGCCAGATTCCAGATAACCCATTCAACCACCAACAGAAGTTATAATTGGGACACCAGTCTGGTATGCATTACAGTCCTTTTTAGGTAAATGTATTTGAAAAGAATGCCAAAGATCATTGAAAGGCGATTCATAGCAAGCACAAGAAGGGGAATGTCAGTGAGCTGCATAGTTGAGGAGTTACTGCGTAGAGAACGAAGCAGTTTTGAGTATATCAATATTGAAATTATGGCCATTCGATTTAAACCTAACTGAAAGTGATTTTATTAAAGGGAATGTATTAGATAAAGTTATCTTTAAATAAATAAATTATGTCATTATCTCCCTTGTCTGAAAAAAAGGGCGTAGCCCTACATATACCGGCAGAATTGGAAATCAGTGCTGGCTACTGAAAATGAGGATGCAGCACTTATGGGAATGGCCTGAGTGTTATGATGTCGGTTCTTAGCACCGTTATACATTCTTCTTCTGCGTTCGACATCAGTCATGCTACACATTGAGTCCCGTCTGGGTCAAAAATAGGATTGTACGTTTAAAGTCGCCACCGGTCCCCCCTAGCTTCTCTCGCAATGTGGATCCCCTGACCGTTATACAGACTAAGATTATTCTTCGAGCCTCGTTTTGTCTTTTCCCTCGCCGCCGTCTCCATGTGGGATGCATTTTTTCGTTATTTGAAGCCCCACCCTGACTTTTGTCAGGGGTCCTGAATATAGCCGGGTCGCTGAAAGCATGCTGAAAAAAGTAAAGACAGAGATGCTTCGAGCAGAGTGGCAAGCTTCACTGGAAAGGTCACGGGTAGTGAGCCTACTTTGGATCTTTTCTCCAGGCCACGCCGGCTTGGTGGGTAATGAAAAGGCAGACAGACTGGCTGGATCCGCACCACTGGGTGATGAATTGATACATGACAAGGCAGATGTTGTCAAGGCCCTTTGGGAACAAGCAACGGAATCAGTAGAGAAAGAAGATTATTATGGCATGGAGAGAATGAGGCACCTGTGTGTAACCAGAGGGTCTGGCCGGCTCACTACACTCAGAGGAAAGGCTAGACGGACTTTTAACCAGATTGTGACCGGTACCATCAGTATTGGAACTCTGCGCTGGCTGCTGAAGATAAGGACGGAGCATGCATGGGAATGCGCCGAGTGCTGTGATGTCAATTATAGACTCAACTCAACTAAAAGGTGCCAGTACTTTGACTTATTGCGGGGTAGGGTGGTGAAATGTGTGCTTGCGGCTCTGAAAATCATGGACTCGGTTTGTTCACAGCCAGCCATTTAAGCTTTTCGCATACATCTCTCTTCTCACCTCCCCTCTACCCCCTCCCCCCACTTCTCTCTCTCTCTCTCTCTCTCTCTCTCTCTCTCTCTCTCGCGTTCTCTCTCGCTCTCTAATTCTCCCTCTTATTTATATCTCGATACTGGTAGGATGATAACATCAAGAAACGGACTAACATCATCTAACGGAAAAGTGGTTTTCAAAAGAACGGTCAAATTACAGACATCAATAGAGAGAGAGAGAGAGAGAGAGAGAAACGACACATTAACAACGACAATTCTCCAATAATGTGAACAACGCTTCTGTCTAGTGCAGTGACATGGACTATAAACGAGCAATTAGAAAATAAAAAGTACTGAATCTCAGGAGGAGATATAAACAAAAAAAAAAAAAAATCTCTATTTCATGGGGCTCAGGTAGGAAAAAAAAAAAAGAGGGGGGGGGGAGGGCTAACTATAGAGGGCCTGAGAAACTTGGACCAGAAAGAGTAAGTAAAATGTTTCAGCCATATGAAAAGAAAGAACACTTATAAAAACCATACTGAATGTGGGAGTTGGAAGGCGAACGAACAAGAGGCAAACGGCGATTCAAGTAGGAGGATAACTCCATAAAACAGATCAACAGCAGTGTGGGAGTTTACGTTCAGGGCGAGAGATAATGCATTTTGGAGAGCATTGTGGAGACGGTACCTGATTAATATCAACGAGGGGGAAGGGAAACGTTATAGGTCTGCTGCTACAACCTTCATTGGGGAGAAGGTTCATGATTGATAACAAGGGATGGAAAGAGTGTTGTGGGTCCACTGCTACAACCTTCACAGGGGAGACGGCATCTGACTGATCGAAACACGTCTGCTCGCAACGCAACACTAGATGGCTTATCAACCACATGCACTTTTCGCGAATGTTAACTGCATTTCTATCGCTTCTAGAAAACTCAAAATAGATCTAACCCCAGAAGAACCTTATTAAACCCAACCCGAGCCTCGTCGTTTGCTTGGAAGGTTTTTCGCCCTCGCATGCAGCCAGAACACACACAGTCTGCGCCTGCGTGCGTCAAAAGCATTTTTCCACACAGACAGCCCGTAACAACATATATATATACGTCATAGGTGCTCCACTGCTGTTTGTTGGAACAGTGTATATTTGGTGTTCGCCATCGGATACACCAGTTACACAACGCGAGCAAGATGCACTACGCTCTTCTAGATAAAAAACTAACGTATCTCGGATTGGATATCTCATTTCAGTTTGAACTTGTGTATAGTGTTGTGCGGTGTGGTAACTCCAGTGTTCTTATTAGTAAGTTTACCAGTACTTTCTTTACCGAGGCTTAAGCTAGGTACTCTCTCTCTCTCTATATATATTTAATTCCGATTATGGATCACCAAACGGACTTACATTTCGACTACGAGTTGAACCCCGAACCTCAGTTCATGAGGGTACGGTCAAACACATGGCCGCAGAAACCTTCAAGAGAACCGGAGCCTCAAAACAGTCCGATAGTTGGAGAGGAGGCTTCAAACGGAGCTGATCATCAAACCACTAAAGACCCGCTGGGTTTAACAGCGAAGAAGAGCGGATCTCGAAGAAATGCGTGGGGTAATCTGTCTTACGCAGACCTCATTACTAAAGCAATTCATAGTTCGCCCGAAAAGCGGTTAACTTTATCGCAGATTTATGACTGGATGGTGCAGAATGTTCCATACTTCAAAGATAAGGGAGATAGCACCAGTTCTGCCGGATGGAAGGTGGGTTTATGTTTGGTTTATATTGGCATTATATTAACATTAAGCATTATTATTATATTATTAACCATTAGTAATAAAGGACCCTTATTCACCTCTTCGGGCTATTGGGCCTGTATTAGATTAGCACAGAATTTAATTATTACATTATTAAACATTATTAGAAAGTAAAAGTATGTGGCGGACTCTTTTTTTTTCCACGGCTGTGTTTAGCTTATAAGGTTTAAGGCACTGTGAGCCTGAAAGTCATGAAAACGTGTTTTTTTTTATTTCCTTAACCGTCCAAACGCTGGAATCAGCTGCTGGTAAACGTGATAAATGCATTGGTAAACAGTTTCAATCAACTCTAAGCCATAGAGTCGTACTTTCTCAGAGAAACTGCCCCCAGAGTTTTAAGTTAGTCCATCTGAGGGAGTTAAAAAATCAGACACAATTTAACTCTCAGTCTTACCGTGTGGGGCAATGTTATAATATATGGCGATGTACGGAATCAGGATCCCCAATCCCTAGGAAAACAGGTGTCTGAACTCACCGCAAAGTGTCCGTTACATAAGCCATGATGAACTGATGGCCAAAAATCTGCCAGTACTGCAGAACGCCAGAGGGGAAAAAGGCCATTGAAGGAAACAAAATCATTACACTATTTTTAGAGTGAAAAAGAAACGTATAGTGAGTTGGTTGGTACCGATAATATTGGCAACTGTATTTATACTACTGCTGGTGTTTGAATGGGGGTGGGGTGTCTTACAGCCGTGTACAAGTAAGAACATTTAATTCGCTTCCAACAAACACACATCTCAAACTTTATCGATGAGCAGAACATATCAGAAACGATACAACCCCACCTCTTCTCGTCCTCCTTCGTACACATGCAGACGTTATTATCAACATCAGCATCAACTGTTGTCGTTAAGAAAAGACAGTTAGAGCCGTTTACAATCCAGCGCTCAAACTGTGGCAATGGCTTTGTCATCCCACATGGATGTGCACTGTACGTTTTAATGTCAGTAATCTTTGTCTCTTGGCGTCCTCTAGATCTCCTTGAATCTTTCATTCATGTACTGCCTTTTTCTGTAGCATTCAGGTGCCAAGCTGAGTATAATTATGGCAAGCAGCAGTAATTTCAACTTGTTGACATCTCCATAGACAACGAAATTCATAATATGTTTAAATCACCATTGATCATTGGCATTGTGAGAACTAATAGGTTGAAATGGCTGGGGCATATTGAGAGAATGTCAGATGACAGAGAGGTCAAAACTGTACACTAGGGAGATGAATGGTCGTAGACTACGAGGCAGACTAAGAAGAAGATGGAGAAATAATGTTCAGACAGACCTGCAAACACTTGGTGTTACCAATTGGAAAGAGAGGGCCAACCAGAAAAATGCATGGAGGAGGGTAATATCTGCAGCAATGAACCTCAAGGGCTAGGAATGCTGAAGAAGAAAAAGACATCTTTACAGAGTTCATACTCAAACGATTATTGGCATCTGCCAAAAAATGCTGCAGAATAGTCCAGGAAGCAGAGTTGCCTTCATCTCTTTACTAACAACATAACGATGGCGGTGAGACAAGCTTTCATAGAGCTGGAATCACAGGATTGTGTCTGCTGAGTGATTCGATGAGCATAATCCGGCGGTTCGAGGCTTGCTCTGTATGCAGACAGTAGATGAGTCATTGCAAAACTCTCCTCTGCGTGCAGTCATCTTTACATGTGTCCCAGCGAATGCATGTGTTGTTAGCAACGAAAGAGCTGACAGACTGGCCGGTTCTGCCTTAGTTGCAAATCGTCAATCTATGGATCGCGCCGATGCTTTTAATGCTCTTAGCGAGACAGGACGATCCGAGTCTTTTGAAAGCGGCCTAGCCACGTCACTGCTAAGAATACACGAACTAGGAGTAAAGATCGGCACAGCCAATCATGAGAGGCATACCGGACGTACACAAAGTCTTGTTAACCAGCACATGACTGGTACTATTAACCGCAAAACGCTGATCAATATGTTAAAGGGAAAATCTGAGCACCTTAGGTTGGCCTGAGTGCTAGAGAGATAACCGAGCTCTTAACTCTGGCTAGCAAGCAAACGCCCTACCCACTATGCCACACAGTCTCTTGCTTACTCTTCAACGTGAGTTAGTTAATTGCGTATTCTTTACAGGACGTTGCAGAACCAACCCCAGCATATTTTAGCTGTTGTGGTTTTTCTAGGCAAATTTACATCTAGTAGTTTTGCCATTGCTTCTACACAGTCGGCTTCTCGATACCATTGAAGAATCCAACGCAAGGCGCAAGGCCCGCAGCTGGGATCGAACACAGCACCCCGGCATTACGAAGCGCGTTCGCAACGCCTAAGCCACAGACGCCGACTCAAAGTACAACCGGTTTTAAAAAAAAAAAAAACTTTTTCCCTGCAATCAAATCAGCGACAAATCCTAACCCCACTTCGAGTCGACAAGGCACTGAATGTCTCTCGTCAGGTCATTCACCTCTTTAATAAGCGGTGACCCGGTAAAGTTTAACACGTCATCGGCTTCCTTTGGTTTCTGTTACAAGGATTTCTTCAGCTGGCGTCAACAACCAAACAATCACTAGAAGAAAAATACAACAGTAACGTGTCAGTTTTCCACGTCATAAGGAGAGTTGCATATGTAATGTTTGGACCGTTTTTTTTAAAGGCTAATCGGCACTAGGCTTTTGGTGATATGATCAGTATCAGCTATGTGTGCACGCGTGTGTATTCATGTATGTTTATATGTAGTTTATATGCACGCGTGCTTGTATGTGTATGTATGTATGTATCTTGGCTTGTATCTTTGCGTCTATGGCTTAGGCGTTGCGAACGTGCTTTGTAATGCCGGGGTGCCAGGTTCCATCCCAGCTGCGGACGGTTTGTCTTGCGTTGGTTTCGACAGTGGTACCGAGAGCTGACCGTTCAAAAGGCAGTGGCAAACTACTGAATGTAAAATTTGCCTAGAAAAACCAAAACAGCCAAAAATGCTAGGGTTGGTCCTACAACGCCCTGTAAAGGAATCGCAACTAACTTTTTATGTGTACATGTGTGTATAGGGTAGGGTTTTGGAATGAATGTGTGTGTACGTGATTATTTGTATGTTTATATATGTGTATGTGCATGAACATATATGTGTATTTTTATATGCAGCGGAGAGTTGTGGGATGAATTTGTATGTATGTGTGTTCGTATGTAGGTGTGTATCCTGATGTTTATGTGTGAAAGTATGCTTATGTCTGTATGTATGTATTGTTATGCGTGTATGTACGTATGTATGCGTGCATGTTTGTGTTTAATAGAGGTGTCGGTGCATGCATGTATGTGTCTGTTAGTCAGGCATATATTCTTAACTGCGACATACACGCAGATGGTGGCCAGGGGTGGTTTTCTCACCGCCCCTTTTTCCTATACAAGGTATTTATTTGAAGCCCCTTGTAGTAGTATGTCATCATCACCATCATTTTCCACCTTTACCGGTAAGCGCCGTGGGGAGAAACAGTTTACGGCCCACTGCTTGATGGGCAGCAATGGCTATTATCATTTCGTGTCGATGCAGAAGCTCTTTGATGTCATCGATCCTTAGTCTCGGAGAGCGACCTCTTGATTTCCCTTCAGATCTTTTAATGTGTAGCACCTGAGTTGGTAGTTGTTCTGGCTGCGTTCTTACTAGACGACCACACCATTTGATCTTCTGTTTCTCAATGTCAAATGATGTAAAGCTGGCTTTTTAAAAATTATATCTATGTTCATGTCGGCTCTGTGGCTAAGTCGATGTGAACGCTTCGTAATGCTGGGACGCTAGGTTGGTTCTGCAACGTCCTGTAAAGGATACGCAACTAACCTAACCTATATCTATGTTTATGTCGGCTTTGTGGCTAAGTCGATGCAAATCGCTTCGTAATGCTAGGACGCTGGGTTGGTTCTGCAACGTCATGTAAAGGATACGCAACTAACCGAACCTATCTATGTTTATAGTAAATAGGGGAGGGGAGAGCACAAATCCCTGGTCCCCATCCCTGTATTGATTGTAAACATATCAGATATGTCTTCTTGTGCTCTCACTGCGCTGTGGCAAGTGTGTTACATGTTGAATGAATGTTGAATTAAGAATTGACATCACATCACTCGGGACACTCCTATAAGTACTCCGTCCCCATCTTAAGCAGCGAGCGAATTCCAATTTCGATGGCACCAGTAACAGTGTGATTGTATATCCGCCTCATCCTTCCCCGAGTGTTGAGTGTCAGCCAGATCCTCTGGTAACTCCTCGCAGCTCCATTCTCCTCAGACCATAATGATCTATCTGCGCCTCCGCACTATTCACTCGTTCCCAAAGGGCCCTCACAATATTACTGCATGTTACATTGCAATGATGCAGTAATATGTGACGTCTTACAATATTACATCATTCATATAGGACTACTGGACAGATTTCAGATCGAATACGCAGAGAAGACTAGAGACCAAGCAAGACTATCCAATTTTATAAGAAAACGCCGCTGGAACTAAATCGGCCATGCAGTCAGAATAGATATGACAAGACTCCCCCATCAAGCCCTCACATGGACACCAGAAGGGAAAAGAAAACGGGGAAGACCAAGAGAGACCGCGCATAGAACCATCATCGGGAAGGCTCAATCATGGGCCAAATGAACGTACAAGACCTAAAACAGGTGGCAAGGAACCGCGAGACTTGGAGAGCTTTGCCCTATACGCCGTCCTAGGCTCAAGAGAAAAGACTAACACAAGAGGAAAGACTAACACAAGAGGAAAGACTAACTAACACAAAAGGAAAGACTAACTAACACGACACTGCGTGTTACTTTTTAACACTAGAATGCCCCAGGATAACTGTTTTGTACGGTAAACGGGGTTTGCTTTTGCCAATGTTAGATTCGCATATGAACAAGGATGTATCTTTGAGTCACTGTGTGCTAATATATTTGGCTGTATTGTCCGAGACGATAAATTGAAAAAAAAACAAAACAA